ATGGCTGTGCCTTACTGCTTTGAATGTGTTTTTGATGTTGCTTTTGTTTACTGTTTTTTAGTGTGGCAATTGCTTGATTCTTGTTGATATTTGTATACTGTACTTAGTGTTTTTAGCTTGAAAGATTGTCTTTTAATGTTGTAAGCTGCCTTGGGTCCTTTTTAAGGAGAAAGATGGGGTAAATTTTTTTAAATAAAATCAATATTTTAAGGAGAAAGATGGGGTAAAAAAATTTTTAAAATAAAATCAACACATGATGCTTTCATTAAGTTTACTCATTGAGGAACTGAGGTTTAGCAATTAGCTTTAGCATAACTGTATGGAACAACCCTTGTTTTCTGCCCAGTTGTGGATTGGAATGAAAGGGGGGGGGGAGATAAAAGCTAAGCTCTCTTACTGATCTATGGTCTGTATGAAGTACTTTATTAGGGGGGAATTTCTAGTGTGTCAGCAGTAATGTTAACACAAGTAATCCCTAATGTGTCTTCCCCATAATAAGTCCCACTGGGGCTTCTACAGCCAGAGGCTGCATTGGTTAATGCTGATCAAATACTATTTGCTAGCCTTGGGGGAGGGAGCCAGGCAAAAGTGCTTGATCTGCGAATAGAGATGACAGCAACAGCTGAGCAACTCCACACTCAACTGTTATTTGTCTAGCAGTCCTTTCCTAGCAAACTGATCTGGTGTCGAGGAATTCAGGTTGGTACAGCGGGTGATTTTGAGGTAGTCTCTTAATCAGGCACTGATCAACTTGGGGGTCTGCTTAGCTTTAGCAAAGCGGCCAGGTTGTCACTTTCAGGATCCAGCTTTCAGCACAAGATTTGGGGGTGGGGTGGGGCAGGAGTAGGTCACATTCCCATGGGTGCAAAAAGCTGAGTGGAAGGTACAGATGGCATTGAGTTCCTAAAGGGCTGGAGACTGTTGCATGCAGGTGCCATCTCTAGCCACATGACATCCTGGCGATGCTCTGGAGAGGCCATAAAAGCAGCATTTTGCAAATTTATTCATTTATTTATTTCGTCTCATTTGTAGGCCATCTTCCTCCCAGTGAGGGAACCCAAACGGGCTCACAATGTTGAAACAAGTACGTAATACTAAAAACACAGTAAATTACAGATGAAAAAATGATTAAGTGATAGTAATATTTTTAAAGTAATTTAAAACTTCAAAAGCAAACTTAGAAAAGCCAAAGTCCAGTATCTAGGGATCCCAGCGTCTAGGTCATAGTTATTAAAAAATCTGCCTATTTTTAAAGTAATTTAAAACTTCAAAAGCAGACTTAGAAAAGCCAAAATCCAGCATCTAGGTCATAGTTACTAAAAAATCTGCCTGAAAAGTTGGTCTTCAGCTCTAGGCAGAAGGATAAAGGGAAAGTTGGCCAAATGTAACCCCCTCAGGAGAACATTCCCCAACCTGAGAGCAGCTACAGAGGAGGCCCTTTCTCATGTCCCCATCAAGTGTGCCTGCAGTGGCAATGGGACCAAAAGGAGGGCTTCCTCTGAAGATCTTAAGGGCATTGTACCCTTCAGATGTTTTGGACTGCAACTCCAAGCATCCCCAGCCAGAGGGGTTGCAATCCAGCACATCAGGAGCACACTATTTTGGGGAAGGCAAGATAGTTAAAAGTGATTTTTTTCCAGCTTAGTGCAGTAAAAAGGTGCTAAAATGAGCCTTCTCTAGAGGTGTGTGACAGAGAATCAAGGTGCATGTCTCATGAAAAGATAGGCAAGGCCGAATCAAGCATCACAACAAATCAGAGGCTCCTAGTGCAGCTATTGTTGAGTGCATAAAAGAGAGATGAGGAAACAATGGGCCAGATAGCCACACAATGGTAATCCCTCATCTCCCAAATTCTGGAGCATGGCCTTTTTTTGTAGAAAAACAAAGAAATGTGCCGTGAAGTAAGTCATGTGCCTGAGAGAACGTGTTTGGTATCTGCTTTGTAAGGTTTATGTGTGCAAAGAGAAACATTAACTAAATCTCTGCCCAGGCAATAAGGGCAGAGAAGAGTTTTACTTGGAATACATGTTCTGAAATGCGATAAGTGGACGGACATCTAGTAATGTGACAAGTAAATGAAACTCCCACCAAGCCCTTCTGCAGTGAGTAGCTGCTCACCCTAGTTTCCTACCTCCATCCAGAAGACAGCACAAGAGTCTTTGTGTCACGTAGGGTCAAACCACAACTTAAAGGAAATATGTATTTATCTCTCTCCCTGCCCCCCTTTTTTTAACAGGAGAGTAGGACTGCAAGAATAGTAAATGGCAACAACTCGTAAGAAAATGGAAATTCAATAGGTTTCTCATTGCCTGAGATAGAAAGGCAGCGACAGAAAGAGGCTTGTCTGTCGTGGATTTGTTAAAGGCATGTGAATTCTGCCCTTGAAAGTTGGCACAATGGCTGCACAGATAGACACAGAGGGGCACTAAATATGTTGAACACGTGGCAGGGAATTATGTGGTGCTGAGCCGTCTTCCGCACCCACTGTTCTCTTCGTCTCCTAGTCGAGCTGTTTGCAAATTGCATCCATCTGGTTTCTGAGCACCCAATAGTGCTCCAGTCTTTTAAGATTTAGAAAACAACCCTGTGATTTTCAGGATTCCATTCAAACCACCGGGATCTATATTATTCCAAAGCAGTGGAAACCACACAGATTTCTGGTTGACAAGTCATACAGTGAGTTTATACACTAAAGGTTGATTATGAGATCTTGACTCAGTCCTCTGGAAGGGGCCCACCGTATCTCTCTCAAAAGTTGTCACTTTTTACAGCAATAATGCATTTCTGTCTTTTAACATGATTGTATCTGGGCGCTCAAGGTTTCTGTGACGTGTTCTAAGAAAGGTTTGCAGGGATAGGATGTCAACGTTAATACTTGGCTTGTAGAATTTGGGGAACAAATGGCATAGTAAAGAGTCAAGAGACTAATGTGTTTGTTAGGGATAGCCCAGTAAATTCTGGTGCAGACCGAGCAGGACGGAAGGCTTGCTTCTTGGTTTTTAACTGTAGGGCTGGAGGACAGATGTCATGAAAGCAGAGAATATGTGCTCCAGCCAGGATATGGGTGGACGGCTGTGTTTTGGAACTGAAGCAGCCCAGTTGTAAAGGTAGTCCCAACTGATCATTGCCCAAGGAGTGTGTGCTGGCATTTCAGCCTTGTAGAGAGAGCTGGCTTCCTAAATAAGGGCAAAAAGAGCATTGTGGGGAGAGGAGCTGAAGCAAAACCAGCTCTTACATGCCGGAATCTCAATCCCCAGAAACAGGGACAAGCCTCTGATCCAAGCTACGCCACAAGCGGATTTGGAGGGCATGTGAGAGAGAGAGAGAGAGCGCTCCTCTTTCGGAAGTCCTCTGGAATTCTCTGAGCCTGGGAACCCAGCAGGGTTGACTAGCAGCCAGCTAAAGAAAGGCCCACAAGCTACTGTACTTTTATTAACAGATTCTCTCTCAGGGGAACACAGCCAGTCTGGGAAATGCTTTATGGGGAGTGGGGAATGGGGAGTTAACAGCAGTACAGCACAGTAGTAGCAGTATTATTCCAACTGCAGTGGTTTTGAGAAATAACTTTCTGTATGAAGATTGCTTTCGCCTCACCTCCAGTGAGGGATAAGAAACTATTGGGCAGCCTCTGTGTCTGTCTAGAGCAAAGCTTGGGCAGTTCCTGTTAAGAAGTAATTAATTACAGTTATAATGCTGCTTTATAGCTCAGAGATTTAGGTCTTTGGCTGCGGGGCCAGAGGTTGGGAGTTTGATCCCTCACTGTTCCTCCTTGACAGGGGCTGGACTTGATGATCTATATGGTCCCTTCCAGCTCTCGTGATGATTAAAGCCAAAAAAGTCGTTGGTTATTGTTACAGTTTTAACAGTAACTCTTTATTTCCCTCTTCCTTAAAGTCATTAAAATAGACACTTTGGATAGGTTTTTGCTTGTTTGTCTGTTTTCATTCTGAATGCTACAGTTTGCTAGCCTCTGGTACAAATAATTTGTCTCTTTTCATCTACCTCACACCAAGGTTTTAGGCAGCAGTAGGGTCTGGATCTGTAAACCATACCGTATTCTTCCTCTTCCATTTAGTTAGGACAACCCCCTTGAAGAATGATAAAAGTAGAATTATAGTTGCCTTGTAACTGGATCTCTTGTTTGTAACATTTACTTCCTTTTTTAAACTTCAAAGTGACTGCAAGGTGCAGTGGCTGTTCACAGTAGTGCAGTGGAAGGAATGTTTAGTATCATCATTCTGTTTTCTGAGTCCAAATCCCCCCCGCCCCCGCTCTTAGACCCATGTGGAATGGAGGTGGTAATGGTTGCAGAATTAGAGACTTTTTTTGTGCCTGAGAAGAACAGCTTTGGGGTGTTGTTTCACGCCTTGAAGACCACACAAGGCACCTAAACACTGACGGTGCTGGCTGATATTAATTAGCACTGTGGCGCATCTGGGAAACTCCAGTGGGGAAAGTTGGTCAGTGATTATGGAGATTATTGTACCAGGCACTGGGTTAGAGAAACCTTATGTGAAGACTCAGGTTCCCAAGCAGCAATGCTGTGGTCATATTTAGAGCCCCCATAGAGGTACAAATAAACATGGTACAAGATCTAATCATTCAGCTGCCACACAACGGGAGTCTAGGCTCTACCCTTAAAAAACACCTCTAGTCCAGTGGTTCCCAACTTTGGGTCCCCAGGTGTTGTTGGACGATAACAAGTGGTGAAGGCTTCTGGGAGTTTTAGTCCAAGAAACATTGGCCCAAAGGTTGGGAACCCAAGGTTGGGAACCCCTGCTTTATCCCCCATCAGTGCAACTCTTCTGTCTCAGCTCATCAGTACCAGCCATATTCATGCCTTTGATAGAGCCTAGCTTTGCTAATAGAGGGGTCAAAGTATGGCTGGATTATAAATCAGCACCTCTGCTCTTAGGTTATTCAAGCATCAACAAACGAGTAGAAAAATATCAAAAGGCATAGATCCTAACCTTTTTAAAAAATCTGTTTTTTTTTTTCAGTTCTCCAAGATACCAAAGAAAACTTGCCATCCCTTCACAATGGGGGCTGTACCCAGGACTCTACTGCCATGCCTTTGGTTCCTAGCAGGACTCCCAGTGGAGCTCTGCTTAGCTCAGGCCACTCCTGCTCCCCCTCCACCACCGGGTTGTGGTAAAGACTTGGACTCCATCTACTACAATCTCTGCGACCTGTCCGTAGCCTGGGGTATTGTGTTGGAGGCAGTGGCCAGTTTTGGTATTGTGACCAGCTTTGTCCTCACTGTTGTCCTTGTGGCCAGTGTGCCTTTTGTCCAGGACTACCGGAAGAAAAGCTTAATAGGGACTCAAGCTTTCTTTTTGCTGGGCACCTTTGGGCTCTTCTGCTTGACCTTTGCCTTCATCGTCAAGCAAGATTTTTCCACGTGTGCCTCCCGACGCTTCCTTTTTGGGGTCCTCTTCGCTATATGCTTCTCCTGCCTGGCAGCCCATACTCTGAGTCTCAACTTCCTGGCCCGACGGAATCATGGTCCCCGGGGGTGGATGGCCTTTGGCATGGCTTTGCTCCTTGCCTTGGTCGAGGTCATCATCAACGCTGAGTGGCTCATTATCACTGTGGTGAGAAGCGAGAGTGCATCTCAGGACCCCTGCAAAGTCAGCAATGAAGACTTTGTCATGGCGCTCATCTATGTCATGTTCTTGCAAGTGGCTACCTTTGTGGCAGCCTGGCCTGTCTTGTGTGGACGTTACAAGCACTGGAGGAAACATGCCGTCTTTATTCTCCTCACTACCTCATTTTCCATGGCCATCTGGGTAGTCTGGATCGTGATGTATGTTTATGGCAACCAGCAGAGAGGGGGACCAACTTGGGATGACCCTACGTTGGCTATTGCTCTTGCCTCCAATGCCTGCATCTTTGTTTTCTTGTATATCATCCCTGAGATTTCTCAAGTGATCAGACCAGGACCTGAACAGACCTATGAGGACGACATCTACCCCACTAGGGGAGTGGGGTATGAAACAATCCTCAAGGAACAGAAATCCCAGAGCATGTTTGTGGAGAACAAGGCCTTCTCAATGGATGAACCTTCTTCAGGTAGGCCTTGGCATGTTGACTGGCGTGAAAAGTCCTTGAAAAATAGGCTTGTTGAGGTGGGATAAACAGCAGGTGGAGGTTCCAGGCATGAAGCAATGTTACTTGGGGATTGGTGGCTTTTTAGCTTGTGCTGGTAGAAGCTTTTCCAGCATGCCTTTCTACGAGGTCATGGGATTGTGATTTTTTAAAAAATGATTGATTTGGTCCTACATTTAAGTTCTAAGTTTTCACAGCACAGTAGAATCTATGGGTGGCCACAAGCTTGTGGCACAACTGAAGAGGAGCAGAGCAGCTGTAGCCCCATTTGAGGTATACATTCTGACTTAACTTTGTCACTGTCTTACCTCATGTCCTGTGTGTGAACACTACCTGTTAACTCGTTTTACTTTGTTATCTTCTTATCTCATGGTGTGCTGTTCCCTGTTCTCTGGCTCAGTAACTGGACACTTGCCAGTACCAAAGTAAGAGAAGGCAAGGCAAGGCATGGGAAGGCACGGGCGAGACGTGTATACTATAGTATGCACAAGAGCAACAGGATCTTATAGTGTTGTGTCATTCTTGTAAGAAAAGAAACCTAGCTAATACTGTATAGACAGATTAGTACTGTGGTCTTCTCTGATTAATAAAACGTGTTGTTTTTCCCTTTCTCGCTTTTCAATTAAATTTCCTGACTTTGCCAGTGTTTTTGATTAGTTTCACCTTCACTTAATTAGCCTTACATAAAATCAGAATTACCAGATTGAAACAAAGTTTTTCAGGGCTTTTAAATTCCTTTGCAAATTCAGATAAGGTTTGCTAAAGCTGAATGACTTGGAATTCAAGACATGGCAGAACTGATAGCGAAGGTGTCTGGCTCAGATGGTACAATGTTGTTGTTTAGTCGTTTAGTCGTGTCCGACTCTTCGTGACCCCATGGACCAGAGCACGCCAGGCCCTCCTGTTTTCCACAGACTCCCAGAGTTTGGTCAAACAAATGGTACAAACAAAATACAAAAATAAATTCCTAAGGTTACAGTTTTATGTACACTTACTGAAGAGAAAGTCCAGCTAAACTGATTTTCTTCAGAAACATGCACAGAACTGGTGTATAAACACATTTATTTAAAAGATTTCCAAGGCTACACATTCACAAGGCAACTTCTGAAATATAAAAGACAGTATTCATTTCTGTTTCATGAAACTATTATATATAACAAATCAAATGTCAGTTAAAATGTATTGGTTCATCTGACAATAATGGCATTATCAATTTAGTTGAGAAGTCAGAGTTACAGTGCAGTATAATAATATTAAAAATGGTTTAAATGATTTCCAGCCACAATAAGAACAATTTAAAATATCCCTAACCCAGTGTCTGTCTAAGAAAGATCAAGATACCTGAGTTTTCAAAGCCAGCTTGAAGGTTTGAATGAAGGGGGACAAGTGCATTTTATTTGGGATTGAATACCACAACAGTGGGCTGATGACTAAAAAGGCTTTGTTCTGTTTACCTGATGACTTAACTGTTTTTGCTGGTGGGCGCACAAACAGGGCCTCCATGGCTGAGTTCCAAGTGCAGTCCCAAAACCAAATGCGTTGCTTCATCCTTGAGCAGTATTCCCCTACCTATTGCCATCCAGATTATCACTCACCAGTGTGGCCAGTGACTAGGTTTGGCTGGGCATGCTTGAAGTCAAGGACTTGATATTGTAGAAGGACCACAGAAGGTCTAAGGACCACAGATTGAAGAAGGCGATCATAAAGTATAGTTGCATGGCATTTATGAGAGCCCATGCCAAGGTTAGGAATTTAATATGAATTACATATACTGTAGTATGGGAGTAATTGAACAAAGGTCCTTTTTCTGTGTTTACCATGGATAAAAATGGAACAACAGCTGATAACCTGAAGATTAGGAGGATTAATCTAAATCCAAATCCTCCTTGCAAAAGGTGGAAGTCTCCGTCATCTTGCTTTGGCCGGCCCTATCATGCAGTTGAGTGAGGGACCTGTCTCGGAAGGCAGATGCTGGGACAACAGTAGTAGTTCCCTAACTGGTCTTCTGTATTGGAGGTCAGAGCTGGGTGTATACTGTTATCTTCTGCAGCTTATCTGGTGTGTGTCCCTTAAGCCAGCCTGCTGCACTCAAGTGTGATGTAGGGCAATGTCTTCTCAACAGCGATAAAGTAAGACTGAATGGCCAACCCAGTAGGCTCCTGTAGGTGGAATTTGGAGTTAGATACACCATGTTAACCATTGTTTCAAGCCCCAAAAATTCTTGAGCTGTCTGCAAAAGTTGCATATTGCTTAGCAGACAAAGAAAACTGGTTCCTTGCAAATTAAAAAAAGAGATTCTTCTCATAAACCTTCTAGGTTTTTAACTTAACTTAAATGTTGAAAGACAAAGCTTAGGATCTATTGCAAACATAATTGATTTGCTATGTTTGAATGTTGCGTTTGTTCTTTTAAAATACTTTTTACCCCAGCCTGAATTGATTGTGGATAAAGAGTCTTACATTGTACAATTTAAAATACGACTCTGCAATTGGTTTGTGAATATATACTGTTGCTGTAGCATATGCAGGATCCTGGTTTAAGTCTCTCTGACCTTTGTCAGTGAAGTAAGCAGCATGGGTCACAACCAAAGAAGTTGTTTTCCCGGGGATAAGCAGGAGGCATTTCTTGCATTGCTCCATGTGATTAAAACCTCAGTCAGGAATACTCTCCAACCAACTCAGCCTCTATTGTTAGCTGGTAGCCACACACCAAAAACTCCACTTAAATTCTGCAGAAAATGCCCCTCCTGAAACCTCAGGTCCATTTTAGCGTCCCACAGTATGGAGAAGAGGAATGAATACTTTACAGGTAGGCCCGTGAAGAAGCCATCTTGCATGCAGGTTTAGCAAATCTTTACTTTTATTCCTCTAAAGAAGAGAAGGTCACATTAATGGAGGGAGAAGTTATACTTGTTTGATTCTTCCTAACAGAGTGAGTGATTTGCTTAAAAACCTAGGAAACTAGAGCACAGCTCCAAGGTAGGAACCCTCCTTCCCCATTTGCAGTCAGAGAAAATAAGAACCAAGCCAGAGAAAATCTTTGCAAGTTACTACTCCAAAGTTAGTTTTGAGTTCAGTAGGTCTTGCTTTCCGTTAAATTAGCATACAGACAAGAAAGAAATGCTGCTGCAATAGTAGGTTTGTAGTATAGATGAGCTGAGCTGAGTTATAAACGTCAGGAGGGTCTAAAACCCTTATTAGAGGGTCTCTTGGCTTCCTCATATAGGGACTTGGGCACTTCTACATTCACCCTCATGTTTCAAAAGTAGGAGGCAAGGATGTTGGCAGGTCTTTGGATCCAAGTCCTGAGTCTCAAGCCTCAGTCAGAATCTCAAGTCATTTGCCCTGCCCCGGGGGATGGACATGCAGAGACAGTGGAGTTGGAAGGGAAGCCGAGCACAAAGACAGAGGACTGATTTCCACTCCTGGAGCCAGCTCCTGCCTCTGCGCATGCGCTGGCCTATCAGCTGGGCAGTGGGGCTGTGGTCAGAGGCAACATCTGGCTCCTGGAAGGGGAGCCATGCCTGCTGTCTCTGAGGGTGGCAGTGGAGGCTGGAGCAGGTAGGGAGGCCCATCCCTAATAGGGACTCAAAGATGCAACGTGGAAGAATTGGTCTGAGTCACGAGTCGGAGTCTGGCTGGCGAATCCCCACCCCTGGCAGGATGTGGCTTTCTCTGTCTAGCAGGAAAGAGACCACTGGGGAGGGTTTTGTAGAAGGTCATATCTGGTTTCAAGTGAAAAGAAATTGGCATCTTAAAGAAGGCCGCCACACAACTCCAAAGATATCTAGAACAGAGAAAAGAGGAGATGGCTGAGGTACTAGGATCTGCAGTAGTGGGGACTAAAAGAGACATGTTTTGGTCTGCTCATGATTAGAAAAGTCAGACTGGCTGGATGAAAATTCAACCAGCTGGCTGGATAGGCCTCCTATTGTGGTTTTGGCTTGCTGTTCAGGTTCTGACGCAATCATCTCCAGTGTTTACAATCTGATATCTCTGTAATGAAGACATAAGGAATTAGATTGGCTGCAACCAGTTTTTGTTTTCTAGAATGGTTTCACAGCGGAGTAGTAAACTTTGTTTTAAGCCTAACCCTCCCCACCCGGGAATTGTGTGTTGCACATCTTTTTTGGACAGCTAAAAGAGATTCCACATCTTTTTGTACACATTTTGTTGTAACAATCCAGTGAGAGACTATGAATTCAGTTGCTTCTTCTCTGTTAAGGAGCATCACTGTTAAAAAAAGTCCTATATGCAGGACTACATACCTTTGTGTAATCACAATGCTGTGTATTCTGTTGGTCACAGCTTTTGAGATTGAGATCAAATGATTGTGCGTCCTACTCTGTTATCTATTCACATTTTTTCCCATTCAGTCACACTGTCTTCTCTGAGCACTGTCTTCACTATATAATCTTTTATTTGGAATTCTGAATTGTTTTGTGTCAAAAATGGACGAGGGGCCATATCCTTCATTTTGACCAGATTCAGGGGTCCCAGCAGAAGCTCATGTATTATACCCATCCAGTGCCAGCTGTAGCAACTACAAATTGTTCCTCTAAAAAAATAAGGGGGGAAAGAGTTTGTCAGCAGCTGGGGGCCAGGATGGTGTAGTAGATAGAGTATTAGATCAGAACTCAACAGACTTGGGTTCAAATTCTTCCCTGGCTGTGGAAACTCACTAATGAGTGGCCATGGTAAATAAACCACTCCTTAAACATCTCACATGCCTCAAAAACCCTATCAGAATCATCATGGGTTGGAAGCAACTTGTCAGCACATAACAACAACAGGTGACTAGGCACCTGGCGTGTGCAGGACCTCGGTGCAAGAAGCCAAAATAATAGCCTTCGCGAATACAGTCAAAATAATAATTTTCACTTGATTTTACTACCAAAGAACACAGCGAAGTTTTCAAGAGTGGGTTAAAGGGCAGCGTTAGCCATTTACAAGTCTTTTAGTGTGATTTCGGTGGCAAAGGTAGCCATGACAGTTGCCACTTCTCATGCACTCCAAAATCTCAGCTAGTTCGCCATTCTTTGTAGAGAACATTTGACTAAAACAGACTTGTGACTGCACACCAGCCAAAGATTTCATGACAACATGCTTTGTTTCTTGGCTTCCATAAACCCCAGAGGACTCTCTGATTTAGGCAATTCCAGTGTGCTCATTAAAACCTACTTTGTCTGTAGTTACTCACAAATAAGGCTTTGTTTTATGGGTGGCTTAAAAAATAAAGGCCTTAGTGGGCTTCTGATGGCTCTTGCACTTGGATACATTGATTAGAGTTAGTGCTTTGCTCCCGGCAGCAAGAAGCAGTATGAAAGAAATATAGCACTCAGTTCTCTTTTCTAAAGCTATCTGTGGGCAGAGGTAAAGGTTCTTGTCATCCTCGAGTGGAATATGAAATGAAGCATAGTATATCATGGAGCATAAATCTGACAGTTAAATTGATCATAAAAATTATCCTTAGGAGAAAAAAAGTTTCTGCTGTGTGTATACTGTTTTTTTTTTAAGTCACAATGAATTCAAGGCATAAATGTGATGGCTGCCCATTCAATCATTCAGTACTCATCCCTTCTTTTTTTTTAAACTGGCCCTGATCCTGGTTCCCTTTAACAGCAGCCTGACAAACTGAAATTTAACACGTGAAGCTTTTAATGATACTTTTGTCAATGCCAGGAAAGAGCACTGCCTGCAGAAAATTCCTAAATGCTAGACAGCTCTTAAAGCTCCAGGAAGAAGATTGGTAAACAGGGGGCAACTTCCTTAATTGTCTGACCATGAGATTATGTAGTAAATCTGTTAATCCGTTCAGGTGACATTTTATGAACACACTTTGAATAGTATGGTACAATCCTTTTATTTGGTTAATTAAATTCATCATTTTTTTTAAAAAATTAAACTTGTAAACTTTCCATTGCTTTTCTGTATGTTATCTCTAAATTCCTCCATTAAAAACATTAATATTTTAAAAGTCCACACTTTTTTTTTTTTTGCTCGTGCTTTGGCTCAAGAGAGATGTGTGCCACATTCCAGTGTTCTCTGATGCCACAGGTTCAGGGGTGGGCCAAGTTCAGTTTCCAGGTTTTGCAGACTACAACTCTCTGCCTTTTGCACCATTGGCTGAGTTGGCTGCCTAGGATTCATGGGAACTGCAGCCCAGAGGGCTGCTTTTTAGCCACCATCCTACTTTAAATAGTGAGGTGGATAATCTTGTTTGCTGCTTAAAGGAAAAGGGAAATGGAAAGGAGACTCGTATCTGAAAGGAGCACATTCTTCTGCAGACTCCCCTGCCCCCATTTTAGCCTTTTCAACTGCAGGGAATCAGTCTGGTTTCTCATGGTGGTGAATGAAGACTTGCATCTCTAGGCTGGCTGCTCCCTGGTGTCTACCATAGTCATCAGACACATAATGATCTTCTGCCCAGCACCATTTTTGCAGGAATTGAAGGGGAGGGCAGGATTTCCATGCATACCTCAAGGTCTCTTGTATCTTCAAAGTCTCTGTCTCTCCTCTTCCCCCCCCCCTTTATTTCGGTGATTAGTATCTCTGCTACATACATAATGTAGACTTTCTTTTCTTTTCTTAAAAAAACCTTTTATTTTTGTTTTTGTTTTTGGATGTCCAACAGGCAATGCGAAATTTAAACAATTTATCTCATTTATAACACATCTTACATATGCTCATAAATGCTATAATAGCATTGATTAGCTAATTAAATATTACTCCAAGATACTAATATAAGTAATTTTATTATATAAAATGAAATATATACACCATTATATGAAATGCTAACTTTTATGAGAACTGCAATGTTCACTAAAACAAATGAAGTATTTAAAAGAGAATGAAGCATAGATATATATTATGAGCCTCATGGTGCAGTGGTTAAACTGCTATACTGCAGCCAAAGCTGTGCTCACGACCAGGGGTTCAATCCCAGGTAGCCGGCTCAAGGTTGACTCAGCCTTCTATTCTTCTGAGGTCAGTAAAATGAGGACCCAGTTCGCTGGGGGGGGGGGCAATGTGTAGCTTGCATAATTAACTTGTAAACTGCCCAGAGAGTGCTTGAAGCACTATGGGGGGGTATATAAGCAGCACACTTTGCTTTGTTTTTAATTTTTTAATTTTGTGTCAGAAATGAATCATAGGTATTTTATGTATTTATTTAAAATATTTATAGCTTGTCCTATATCATAGGATCTCAGGCCAGGTTACAAAGCTATTTAAACCAGTTTTAAAACGCAAGATATTTAAAGCAATTTAAGAGCAAACACTTAAAAAAATCTAAACATTAAAAACATTTCACTAAAACTTGCATAGGCCACACTCCTCAACCCCCAACTAATAAATATGTCTTGGTGCCAAAATGATAGCTAGCTGTTAGAGATGAGTTGAGCCAGAGAATCAAAGGTGAGAGGCCTACCAGAGCTAGGAAGATTTTGCTATGCAAAAAAGGTCCCAGTCCATACAGGAAAGCCTTTTATAGATCCTACTGTTTGTGAAATTCCAAAGGCCAGCTTTGGTGATGGGCAGTGGTGCTACTCTTTAATTGTCATAATGGCACCATCCTATGGGAATCCTGGGACTTGTAGTGAGGGAGGTACAATCCTTTGCTTACTACAGAGGAAAAGTTCTGTCTAGCAAACAATGTTAAATACCTTGCTGAACAACAGATTCCATGATTCTACACAATGGGGCCATGAAAACTATGGCTTACACCGGCCAGAACAGTTTTAATGGGGCCATGACAGTTAAAGTGGTATTTTGACATAGTAAGATGATGGCCGTCTTGACCGAAAACACTGTGCTTAATTTAACCTTTAGTTCATTTGCTTATTCTGCTTTAAATGCCTGCAGCCTTGTTAGTAGATACCTCGGGAGACCCCGGTTAAAGATTAAGAGGAGTCTAATTTTCTGCCAGCCCAGCATTCTGTTGAATAGCTTTCCACTGCTCTGCCTCTGTGACAGGTCATTTAAACAAAGTTCTAGTTCTGCCAGCTTGGTATACGGCATCTGGACGATTCTGGATACCAGCTTTGCCTTCAAAACGTGCCTGAGGCTTTGCCTTGAAATGTCATTGTCCTGTGGTTTCTTTCTCTTTCCAGCCAAAAAGCCTGTGTCCCCATACAGCGGATACAACGGGCAACTGCTGACAAGTGTCTACCAGCCCACAGAGATGGCTCTGATGCATAAAGGGCCTGTAAGTGAGTGTGTGGCTCTGCCACCTTTTCCTGTCCAACTTGACTGTCGCTTAGCTTCTTGAGGAGTTTTATGTAAGGCCTTTAAAAAGAAAAAGAAAAAAAAACTTGCAGGAGAGATACATTTTTGCCAGGCAAGGTACATACTTGCTTCCTTAAAACATTACATCCAGAAATTCTGTGGTTCTTTCTAGATAGGGAGATACATGTAATAAAGAGGAAAAAGGTGTGTGTGCATGTATTCTAAGGAAGAAAACCTGTGATCTAATCTCAGGTCTTTTGAATCCAGGTCACTTTCTGTTTAGAGGCCAACATTTAGTTCTTACACACAACAGGATTAAGTTAAGTGAGGTAGTTTCTGGGTTGGATTCCTCAAATCCTTTAACTAAGCCCCACCATTCTAGGGACATGAATTCTAATTGAATTTTTATCTTATTTCACAGAGTATCCAGTTATGTGACCCTTAATCTAACATCTAAGAGTGTGTAGTCAAGAATCAGGTTTACCAAAATCATTTGCTCTTCTGAAAACTTGGTCTGTTAGGCCATCCTTTTTAAATAGGTCAACGTGTTGGGCCAGTGGTTTTGTGTTTGCCGTTTCCATTTCGGGTGTTTTACAATTTAGGAATGGCAGTGTACATGAAATTCAGGAGTGCATACAAACATTCTACAAAGGGCCCCAAATCAAGGAGGGGGGATAAGAGGAGTGGTTTTTTGATGAGCATGAGTAATTCCCTGCAGATACCAAGATAAATAGTTCATTGTTCAGTGACTCTTCCCTACCCCTTCTTCCCCTTGTCAGTCTTTCTCCACCCCCATAACCCCAATCCTCAAATTGCATGTGAACCACACATTTTTCAGTAGTAAGGAAGAAAATAAAACTGGGTGGGGTGTGTGTGGGAAAGGCTTTGGTATAATTTAGTGGCAATCTGAAACAAAGTAGGAATTATAAATGGGAAAATTCAAGTCTCCTGAAGGCTTTTCCCTCTGAATGGAGACTACATGGAGAATTAGAAGGGCGGGGGCAGCTACATTTGAGGTACACACAGTTTGCTCATTTTGTTTCTTTTGAAACAAAAAGAACTCTGGATACGCTAGTGTGGTGTAGTGGACAGAGTGATGGACTAAGCCTCAGAAGGTCTGCGTTCACATTCTTGGTCAGCCATGAAAACTCACTGGGGATGTGGTATAGGTAAAACGACTCCTTAAATATCTCACTTAACCTTATAAACCCTGTTTGGGTTGCTATAAGTTGGTTCTGACTTGATGGCACATAAGAAGAAACAGCGGCTACTTCCCCTCTTTGTTCATACTTTCTGCTCACGTTTTGGTGTTTATCTCTGTTATTGTTTTGCTTCTAGTCTGAAGGGCCCTACGATGTTATTCTCCCTCGTGCCACAGCCAACAGCCAAGTGATGGGCAGTGCCAATTCCACCCTGCGAGCCGAGGATGCCTATATTTCACAGAATAAGCCAGCAGCGGCACAGAAGGATGGGAAGAGCGGGCAGGTATGTAAAAGAGCCGTGTCATCGCTAAATCAGTTGTAACCTTAGAGCAGTGTTTTCCCAACCTTGGATTCCCAGATGTTCTTGGATTAATGCTCCCAGAAACCTCCACCACTAGCTGGGCTGGCCAGGATTTCTGGGAGTTGTAGTCCAAGAACATTTGGGGAGCCAAAGTTGGGAAACCACTGCCTTTGAGGGCAAGTAAATTCTATTCCTTTCTAGTTCCACCTCCTGGTATGCTCTTTCCATTGTACTGCCCTAAACTGATTTATACATTGAACAAACTCCACCTCCCTGTTACTTATTTATTTTATTTATTAATTAATTATGTTTATACCCCGCCCATCTAATCATAGACTACTCTGGGTGGCTGACAACAAGTAAATAAAACAATTTAAAAGTAACAGTGATATACAACAACAATACAGATGCAGATGTCACAATAGGGTACTCCTACAGATAAATCTTACAGTTAAATCTAGACACTGTGGAATTCATCACAGATATAACTGTAGGTGAGACTTGTTGGTTCATTTTGTTTGCCTTACACACTTGGCAGCTTTGTTAATGAAAACTCAAAATGTGGAGAAAAATAACATGTTCTTTGGTCCTCAGTTTCATCACTTTTGGATTAGGGGTATCTCTGCTATAAGAGTGGGTAGAAGTCAGGCTAGGAGAATCTGCTTTGGTCTGTGCCCGTGCGTTTTAATGAGAATGTGGAGTCCCCTTGGCCAGAGACAAGTGGCAGAGAGTGTGAGGCAGGCTGGGGAGTTAGGTGCGAAAGCTCACGTTGGGTGGTTGGAGCCAATGACAGAACCACACATGGATACATGGGCACACAGCACACATATACACAACAGCACATAGAGTGCTAGTTTACATTTGCCACATTATATAGAGTAGGGATTCTAATACCAAGCTAAAACTGGACATCAGAGCTACACCTGATCAAAATCCTGTGCACACATATGCACTTTTACCATGTCAACTTTGTTTAGTTACCTTTAAGCAGAAGGCTTTTCTGCTATAAGTAATCTAATGTTTTCTTGTATTTTTGTTTCAGACCTCATCACCATACAGCAAGAACAGATGGTAGGCGCTTTGCCTTGATTTTGGCAGGTCCTGTTCCTGGAGGATGATGCCTTGCAGAACCTGCCTTCACGAAACATCTAATTGGGGCAAGGCCTCAGTTAGAGGTTAAGGTTTCATCTTGAGAACTGAGACAATTCCATTTCTTTGCTTTATGCATATCTCAAGTGCTCCGCTTGACTTCCGCTCCAGGAAATCTGGATCCCTTTGCTGGGATGATTCTTTTATATTCTCAACAATTTCCTTGCAGCCTTCAGTCAAGTTCTTCTTAGTACCCCCTGTGCTAGCCAGCACACCGGAACCTTCCTTCCCCACACCCTCTATCCAACTGGGGTGGACCATATTGACTGTGTTGCAGTCAAGTTCTTCTTAGTACCCCCTGTGCAAGCCAGCACACCGGAACCTTCCCCACACCCTCTATCCAATGTGGGTGGACCATGTTGACTGTGTTATATCTCACCTTCTCCAGCAAGCCTTCCACCTTGGTGCTGTGCCAATCAGCATCTCCTAGTCCTGAGAAGATCTTGCCAAGGCCTCAGCTCAGTCTTTTGGGGGATGATTGGGTGCCCCTTCCTCTCCATCTGGTTGCCAGTCCCTATGATGGGGTGCTTTAGAACCAAAGAGGATGCTGTTCCCGTTCCTCTCGGTGGAGGCTGTAGGGATGTCAGTCCTTCTGCAGAGAGAGACTTTTCAAGTACAGAAGGAACTTTTGGACTCTTTTAACTGAGCTGTGGTAAGCTGTCCTATGTCCTACTTTCCTTTGGACCAAGTCCTAAAGAGTGGCATTATGCTGCTTCCAGGATCCTTACTTGTCTCCTCTCCTGTTGCCTCCTCTTTCTGCAGCCCAAATTAAGGCAACATAAAGACTTTTTCCCGCTTGGACTTTTCATTGCTCTGAATGTCTGTGTGAAGGGTGTGGATGTGGGTCTGCCTTATCCTCCGGATGTCAGCTCAGGCCTCTTAGCGAGGTAGACTCTGTCTCTCAGAGATATTGGTGGCTGAGCCAATGCTCTCCATTGACTGTGCAGGAAGGATTCATTGATGAGCAAGGGGGAAGCTATCCATTGTGTGGAGATTCCCTGAATATTCGTGTGCTTCTTTCTGTTTTCCCTATAGAGGGAGAACAGTGGGAGGTCCACTCTGCTTGCTGTTCCTTCTGTAGCAGTTACCTCTTAAGAGATTGCTTCCCACTTCATCAGAAGTGTAAAAATGTTACCTTCAGTTAAACTTATACATGTATAAAAGTTATGTATAGAGCAGACAAGAACTTGGAAAAGTTATTTCCTTGGGCTACAACTCTCAGAAACCCTTAGCTAGGCTTCTGGCTGTGGGATTCTAGGGCATGTAATCCAACCCAGTAAGTTTTCCAGGCTTCAAAGTGGACAGAAAGAGAATGGGGGCATTTAGTTACAAAGTGAGGCCAGAAGGTACTACTCTGAACCTTACTCTTCAGACTACACCTGTTATGTCTTTTGTGCTGGGTACAGAACAATGAAAGTGCTGTCTTGCATTGTTTGACTTTCTAGTGGCCACCTTTGGCGGTAATGTAATATTCCTAAGCCCGTCTGGCCTTCTGCCTGCCCCCCTCTGTGTCTGTCTGCCAACTGAGGATTACTCTGCTTGCATCTGAGGAAGGGGGTCCCACCACACGCAGTCTTGTAAATCTTTTAGTCCCGAAGGGACTACTGGACCTTTTCAGGTTAGAGCCTTCTGCTTTCCCTGCACACTTCCATGGGCCGATTGTTAGGCTATGAGCTGAGCATCATCTTTGTGTCCCCAACATTTTGGATGCCACTCTTCCTTTTCTCCTTGTTTGGAAGAAGTGCTGTTTCTCTCCAGAATCACGCAGGACACGGCCTTTCCCTTTTCAGGGGCCAAATGGAAGAGAGATTGGAAGAAATGGGAGTGAGGCAGCATTGCAAACTCCTAGAAATGCCTTTTCATCAGTCTTCTCCTGGCCCCTGAGACTGGTGCACACTGTGCCTTTTGCAGGTGGGGCTGACCTTTGCTCTGTGCTGGCAGATTCCCTATTAAATGGGGAGGGAATGACTGAATCCAGCTTGCTGGTAAAGTCTGCCCCCATCTCTTTTATGCTCAGAAATAATGATGGGCCAACTTACATTCACTCCAACGCCAGTCAAGTGGTGAAGAGGCTTACGTTGAGTCATGATTTCTGTCCACCTTTCTGAGAATGAGGTTCTGCAGCAAACTGTCGCATGTGTGCGCACAGCATTTTGGTGAGATGGTCCCTATATAGATCATGGTATGTGATGTGATCTTTTCTGTGTGGGGTGTTTTTTTGTAAATGCTGGCTGTGAGTGAATGACAGGAAGCACCAAGGAAAGAAGTGTGACTGTGTTAATCCAGGTGCTATTTAAGTGAGGGGGGGGGAAGGAAGTGTGTGCTTCTAAGACTTGGCTTTTTCAGCCCAGAGTTATCTGACAAATTAAATCAGGTTTTTTTTCCCTCCTAAATGATGCTACTGACTTCTTGCTTTCCCCTACCCTATTGTGAGTTTGTAGATGAATGAGCAGGGAATGACAATAAAGGGCAATAAAGACAACAAGTAGTCTTTCAGCATCTTAAAGACTCAACATATTTATAATAATGTAAAGACTATGGCCCATTTCCCTGAAAGCCTATTGTTATGCTGGTTATTCATTCTTTTTTAAAAAAAAGATGGCACAAGACTTTACTGCAACAAACTTAGCTACTCTTCCTGAATGAATTTCTGTCCCCTTTTCTTAATCTACCGGGCTTCAGATGTACTGAGGACAAACAGTAGAACTTAGCAGTCGCATTTCCGATCAGGAGTGGTCTTTCCCCCCATGGGTCAGGAATCACTAGTTCCAAAGCTCCCTTCCAATTTCAGTTTTTTCTTGAATGTAATTTGGATTCTTCCAGTTTGAATTTCCACACATCTCTTTTCCTCCTCCTCCTTCCACCTTTCCCTCTCCTTCCTTCTCATGCCCTCCTCATTCCCTGTTCTGTCTCCACCCCTTGTCTCTTTTCCCCCCTTGGAGAAAGTAGAGGGAAGGCTCTCTCATAGATGATGTCAGGATGTGGGAAGTGTGTGCAGTCCCTGTAGGAACCAAGCTTGTTTTGGGGTACAGAAACAGATGGGCTTGACACCTCTGGAACAAAGTGGGTTGCAAAACAAAACCCAGTTCTCAAGTCAAGGAAAAAAGAGAACTATGGTGGGGGGAGGACCAACCAGTAGTGTCATGTGGATCCATTGAAATAATGAAAATCAATTGGCGTTGGAACCGTCTCTTTAATAGGAATCAACACTATACGTGGATGAGCCCTAAGTTTTATAATTGGAGCATGGCTATACCTATGACCCTGTTTCACTCCTTAAGTCTTGAAGAATCCTGCTATTGGCTGTATCACTGTCTTATTTTTAGATTATAACCACAAGGCTCTCTCAGTTGCCAGCAGGTGATTCTGTAGCACAAAAACAGCTTTTCCAAGCACTGCTACTTCACTTTGCTCCCTGGCTGCAGCGTTAAAAGAGCTGCAGCCATTTTAGCAGGAAGAAAGAAGTTTATCCAGAAGCCTCAAATGGTCTTGAGTTGCGGTCAAGGAAAGCCAGTCCCTCTCATTTGTCCAAGATCTACAACGTGGACCTTGCTGAGAGGAGGCTGTTGCCACCACACCATGTGATGGGTTTGTAGTTCTGTGGAGGAGAGAGCACTTTTTCAAATTTTATCCTCATCAACTCCCAACTAAAAGGATCAGTTGGCAGATGAGTTGAAAGATTACCTGCTTGATACACAAGGCGGGAAAAGTAATTATGGGTTACATGGAACCTACCTAATAAACCAGTAGTGTAGTCTGATGTAAGACAGTTTCTTACGTTCTCAAGTTTTTCTAATTGGCACAGTGATGCCCTTCCGTTTGATGCCTCTAAGGGGCATGTGTGACATTTATGTCATAATTTGAAGAGGCTATTTTGTTTTGTTTTATGACCAAAGAATATCAGGGGCTTTTCCAATCATTGCTCCATATTTTTTAAAAAACATTTTACCTATGGGGTGGGATCATGCAAGTGGATGCAGCTTTCCAAGATCAAGAGATGAGTGTTTGTGGCCTTTGGACTTTTGGAGGCTATTGTGTTGCTCCTTTGCCTATTGCACTAAGAAGACCTCCCACCTCTACTAGGATCCCCATAGCAGAACTGAATGGTTGCCTGACATCACAGCCTGCAGAGTAATCAGTGGTACAGCCAATTTAGAAGAACATGAAGGAACAAGATGGAAAGCAGTTATTCCTTGTGCTGTACACATGGACTAAGCACATTGTGCAACTGTTTATATTTAACCTCAATGTCTCAAGAACATGTGTATAAATGTGCATACACAGTTTCACTTGCTTAAACATTGTCCTGTTCCCACGTAGTCCCAGGCTAAAACTGCAGTTTGTCCTTTGTTTCATAAAAAAGACTTCCATGGTGTCGATTTCATCTCAAAATGTTTTTAATGCACTAAAAGCATTTCTTGCATCTGTAAAGCAGAAGTACTTATGCTTAAAAAAAAAGCCACAATTATGCTTTACCAAACCATCAGAAAGCACAATAGCTATGTACTTAAAAATGTACAACAACAAAAATCTATAAACCACTGCATCACAACCCAAACATCAAAATAGCAAGAAGGTGCTAATAAAAAAGATTCTCAGATCCCACATCCTGCACAGGCAGGTGAAGCAGAAATGTGTTACATAGTTCACCCCAAAATAGTTAGACATGTGTATTAATAGACATAACATGAAGAAGTTAGCTCTGATTTCCGAAACCAACGAGACAGATTTTGGCAAGCCTCAGAAAAAGTGCTGCAAAACCTCTTTATCAGAGCACTCCAGCAAGTTTGTTATGCCTGATACATTTTGAACAGGAGACCTGAAGTGACCGTTGCCTCTGTTGAGGCATATTATTCTCCATATGCATCAAGCATGACAAACTTTTCTGGGACGCTTCAGTAAATAAATGAAGGATGGTCTGAACGTTATGCCAAGGGCAGGTGGCGCATCTCCTGGCCAGATAGCTTTTCCTTTCTGCAGCAATGTTTCGTCCCACTCAGGAAATGGAAGTCTGAGTGAACAAGCCCCATGAATTATTGAGCATTTCAAATGCCTTGGTCTGTAGCTGGTGGGAGCTTGGTGACCTCTCTTCCTCCTTGAGGTTCAGAAACTGGAGCTCAGCTGCTTCCTTACCAGAATGGCTGCTTAGCCTCCTTGTATCTGCAAAACCTGTCCGATGGAAATGGTAACAGGAATGATCCTGTCAGAGCTACCATCTGGTAATTGGGCACACCTCTAGGCCCGATCTTATCTTTTCC